CGGGGCTGAGCCGTCAGCCAATCAACGACTGCCGAGAGCTGCTCGTCCTGCACCTGCTGACACACACACACACTGTGTTACAACGGAGGAAACACTGCTGACACACACACACTGTGTTACAACGGAGGAAACACTGCTGACACACACACTGTGTTACAACAGAGGAAACCCACTGCTGACACACACACACTGTTACAACAGAGGAAACCCACTGCTGACACACACATAGTGTTACCACAGACGACACGACACGACACACACACACACACACACACACACACACACACACACACACACACACACACACACACACACACACACACACACACACACACACACACACACACACACACACACACACAGTTGTTTCTTTCAGAGGTCGGTGCCTCCCAGTTTAGAGACTTACCATCTGTTCAGTGAAGATCTGCAGGTCTCCAGGAGCGCCCTGTGCAGCAGAGTAAACAACAACAACAACACGTCACAACACAGGCAGAAAGCAGACAGTAAATAAACGCCTTCCATCCGTTTCTTCCTTCACCTTTTCAGTGAGGTTGTATATGACTCTGGCGAGCGCCTCTGCTACCAGCTTTGTGTTTCTGCTGAGCTTCTGAACATCTACGTGAGGCCTGGAGACACAGAGAGCAGCCGAGAGTCAGAGGAGAGGAGGAGAGCACAACACGAGGAAATGTCAAATCAGCTGATCGGTAGAGCGTGAAATTAAACACCGAAAGGTTTCTACCAAACACAGAGAGGGAGATGGAAGGAAAAGGAGAGGTATAGATCAGAGAGGAGAGAAAAGAGTTCAGAAAGCTCTTAATTTAAAAACACCCGTGGCTCAAACTTGGACACGTTACATCATGGGACCCTGCCCAGGGAAACACGTTGTTATTTTAACCCTTAAATAAATCGTTGAGCAGAAAAACTATTACTTCTCTCCAATGTATTATATATTGGTGTAGGAGCCAAACTGCTTGTAAAGAATGGGTTTAAGGCAGTGCTTCTCAAAGTGAGGTCCGTGAGCACCCCCTAGTGGTCCGTGAGTATATTGGTAACATTTCACATTTTTAATTAATTAATTGATTTAAGTTCTCCGCACTCTCGCAGGAATGTCTCCGCAATGGAGCGAGCTTAAGTTTCACTTTCGATGCATGATACAGCCCAGCGCAACACTTTAGTCTCACAAGAAAAACGATATTTGTGGAGTTAGGTGGTCCAGTGTTTTTTCATTGGTTAAGACGTCCTTGGTATGAAAAGGTTTGAGACACACTGGTTTAAGGTTGCTCAGTTGAACACGGCTCTCATGACGGAACATTTAACAGTGGTAGAGGTACAAGGAACGGCTCTACGTTAGCTAAACTCTACTCTTTTGTTTTGGGGGGATAGAGAGACGTGCACCCACCCAGCAGGGGGCTCTCCCGCTCCGTGGCGAGAGGAGGGGGACACTGACCGGGCGTCCATGATGCTGGCTCTCTGCGCCAGGCGGTGGGAGGCCAGGTGCGACAGCGTGAAGGCCGGCAGGCGGCGGATCCCGAAGCGCTCGTGCTCCCAGGCCAGCATGTCGTCCGCCAGGTTGATCTTCTTATGGACCATCGAGAACTTCACGTCCGGGAACTGGCTCTCTGACACCTGGGACGACACAAGTCCAACATTATAGGATATAGTTATAAATAGTCTGGGTTTTTTAAAGAAAAGTAGAGAAACATTTATTTTAGACCTGAAGAAAATAGGTGAGAAAAAACTGATTTGACAAATAATGACTAACTGTTAACTTCCTCTCACAGCTGTTGGTTAATATCAAAGGTCACATGTCACGGCCGTTTCTACTGATCATAATTCCATTGTTGAGGTCTACTAGAATACATTTACATTGTTCAATGTTCCAAACTCACATTGGTTTCTCATACAGCATCTCTGTATAGTATGTGTATTCGCTCTCTGTCCTACACGGCTTGTTGGAGCTCCTGCCCCCCACTCCCCCCATGAGCCAACTGTGCTCTGATTGGTCAGCTCGCCCACTCTGAGTTATAATATAATATGATAGAGAGCGTGGATCTTCTCACCAGCTCCAGCTCCTTGAGCAGGGTGAACTGAGGAGACCCCTCTTTGGGAGGTTTGGACACGTGGAGGTGCATCGTGTCTCCGTTCCCCAAAGTGTCCAAACACAGCACGAAGGCCACGTTGTCCTGCAGCAAGCTGGAGTCTGAGGAGGAAGGGGGGGGG